ATCAACTTCTGGCTCCTTTGATAACATAGTCATCACCAGATCACATGTGTCATGAAATAACATACCACAAGTATAAAAAATTGTATCTAAAAATTGTTTCAATAAAGCTTTATCTTTTTTTGGAAAGCTTCTTTGCACTGAAGAGAAGATAAGGCTTCTCACATTCAATGCAATTCACAGTAATACTAACATTCTTTGCACATGAAGCAGACAGACTAAATGGCATAGTATGTTTGGTTTTTGCTTTACTTGTCTTTGTTTTTGTTCTGGATTTTACCAATGAAGGCCTATAGTTTTCTGTTGTTCGGTTACCATATATATCTTCAAATGACTGGTAATGCAAGTCATCTTCAGGTATTGAATCTGGTAGATAATGTAGCTGCTCGAAGTCTTCTGAAGAGCAATGTAGAGGCCGACATATTACAGGATGATTCACATATTTTTTAATTAAAAAAAAGTAATGTCTTAAGGTGCAACAATAGTCAAAAAAATCTTGTAGATGTGGCTTTAAATAAGAAGAAATGATTTTTGTTACTTTGTTATTTTATTTATTTATTTTTTGATTTAATCAATACTTACCTTTTGCTTTATATCTGCTGCAGTAAAATTTTCATAGAGAATATTATCATCCAAAAGCAAAATTGTTAAGTCTGGTGAAAGTGAAGAAGAATCTGATGAAAATGTAGAATTTATACTCATGGGAAGGATTCTATTAAAGAACTTTTTTCTAGAGTCTTCATTAATGACTCTTTGTCTTGCTCCACAACAATCGAAAAGCCATACTATTTAGCTGGGATCTACTCAGCTGTTTGTATCGAATGTGGATGCCAAGATATTAATGGACCAGAGAAAGATAAATACTCATGTTGTAATGATTATGGCAATAACTCTATAAACCCAAAGAAATTCTCAATGAAAGCTAAAGTTAGTAAAAACAAATATAAGCATGTAAACGCAAATGAAACCTAACTTTCTTAAAGTTAATTTTGTCCTAGTAAATCCTATTTCTATTTGTGAAAATTTTCAGTTTTATATTTTTCTATCATTATTGTAATATGTGTAATAATTGAAAGTCTCCCTTAAATACATAATTTAGGAAGGTTGTATTCAGGTGGGAAATCTGCAGAACTTTTTTTTCA